GCTTCCAGGTCTGGCAGATTTGGTGCTGAAAGAGACTATGAAACAGAGCAGAAGAAAATAGCATCAAAGTGGTTTCCAGTGGTTCAGCTGAGGTGCAGAAGAAAAGGTAACATGACATAACTCACTCACGACAACAGCAGAAATCACTACTCTATCACTATTTTTCACCTTGACTGCAGCTTGAGAAATAATTGAATGCGAAACGACTGCTGCATTCTACTTCCTCAAACATTTGTACTTTAAACAACAGCACCTCAGCTGCTGCTCCACCCCCACGGAAATAACTGAGTACTCTTATTTTTCCCCCTTTAAACAAATTCTTATGTTACTCATATATCCATGTGCTTTTATTCTCATATGCTGCAATTTGCATAGAAGATTATGCTACTTTTGAAGAGACTTTTCATTTCAAACTGTGTTCTACCTAGATACAGTGCCACACCATAAAGAACTGAAAAGTCTAACATCCAAGCTATGGGGAATTCCAAAAGACGACTGTGAAATATTTGGCCGTAAAGTTTAAGATCAATCAGCAAGGAGAAAAATGTGTTACATAAGCATAAGTCAGTCACTTCAGACTAAACTAAATTTGAAGAAGCTCAAGTTCCTCCTTTCCCCCTCCCCCACTTTTTAGCGTAAGCTGCATGAAAAGAGAGACAGAAGTTGGTTATTGATGTTGACAATAGTTCAGTTTTAAAAGTTTAGTCATTCTTATTAATATTTGGCGCCAACTACTGATGAAAATAGTTTCAAGAACAGGGACGGTTCTAAGTTGAATACTCTATGGAAGAAATGTCTATTAAGTGAATGGGACTGTGGGGAAGGGAAATAACCCCAATAAGGTTAAAAAAGATAGTGGCAAGGGCACAGGAAATGGCATAGAGCAAGGTCAAAACTGTGTGGGAGAGTGTAGAAGGGCCAAAGCTTAAAACTACATGCATAGACACATGCTGATGACAATCCAGCATTTCACATGACATGGTTTCTTTCAGACAGTTTCATACCACAAGCCTCCATGTTCACCAGAACAGACTGCTTTGATTTTTAGGATGTTTATTTGGGGGAGTTTGTGGGTTTTTTTCATGCCTTCCTTCTCCACGTATTTTTCTTTACATTTGCAATTGTAATTTATAATTTCTCTGACTATGGTGGAGCTGAGAAATTAATTTCAGGTGATAGGAACTTGAAGAATAAACAGGGAAAGAATTTGTAATCATACTTTCAAATTGCCTGTATTTAGTGTCTGGGTCATATAGACATAAACAGGGAAGTTGTACAGCATCACTGCCATTTCAATTGAGTCCTAGAAAAGGGCCTATTAATTCCCAAATATATTAATTCAGGACTATATTTCTCACCTTTGTGCCTGAATATTAGAAGTAATGCAATGCAGAATAATTCTTCTTCTCTTTACTGATAACTGGATTTTGCTTTTCAAAAAACACTAAAGTTTTCATTGGGTACTCCATAACTAATGCAAAAATCCTATAAAAATCCTGCTGTGTGTTGAAAGACCATTCAAGATATTTCTGGTAGGAGGAAAACCTTCACTCTATACTAGCAAACACTACACTAGCTATTCTGCTCTGGATATTTCACTGCGTATGTCACAACAAAGGAAAGTTAGCTTCCACTCATATTATTGACCCTATAGCACAGATAATGTGCTTAGCTAATTATGAAAGAAGAGAGTCATTTGACACAAGCTGGACTGTGTTGATTTCTCCGAGTACCCAGCCATGTCCCTGCTATGCAACACCAGAACATGAGATGCTTAATATCTACTTGTTTGGGTTGCAGGTGGGTTTCTTAATACATGTCCAATCACCCAAACCAGTAATTTTTTGCAGGTGCACCGGGTCTTTGGAAATCTTCCTTGCAATCTAAACCCACAAACTTCAGATATTTTAATACCTAGGCAGGCACTCAGCATTTTATTTTGAAATAAAGCTGATTCTTCTTTATATCAGAAACTTGCTGTTATCCATCTAAGAGCACAGGAGTTTCAATTCTGTATAGAGTGAAACTGCAGGTTTAGCTAAACATTAATAGAAACACAGAGCATGCTTTTGCTGCTTTTTTATCCTTAAACCTATGAAATGTGGAAAGCAAAATACAGCAATATATCCCTTCAAAAGTGGTGAAAGTAAATGCACTGCGGTTCAGAACTCCAGAATATAGTTTGATTTTTGGAGGCACACGGAGTTACTGGTTTACTGATTTTAAAAGTTCAGTTTCCCTCAGAAGTTGCACATAATCTCTTGCCTCCTCTGAAACACAAATTAACCAAAAACCAAAAAAGTACTTCCTACTACATCACATATTAGGGGAGGACCCACTGGTAAGAGCAAATATTGCTGCTGCTGTGAGTGAAAAATGTAATTTAAAATAAAACAGGAACCTGTAATTGCTTTAGTCCTTCATCTGTGAGTTTTGTCATCAGTTGGCTTGTAATCAGATTGGTGAATTCACACTTCCTTTTTTCCCCCCTTTGTCTTCTAAAAGGAAACTTAAAGCAACTTGCTTTAACTTATTTATCAAAATCAGGATTCCACTGTGTTCATCTTCAATCTGGGTAGTTTATTTGCAGTCCTAAGGTCTTGCAGCAATGCCTTCTTTCTAAAGTTCTGACCCTCATTTCAAGAGTGAGGATACAACCCCATCTACTCATGGTTAATACAACATTCAGTGTAACATTGCACAGTTTGCCCATGGAATTATTCAAGAAAAGCAGTTATCTTGCTCATTTTTTCAGATACATAAGTTGACTCTTCTAACTGATGTAGACAGATGTACAAAAAGAACCAAAAAGAGAAATGGGTGGCAAAATTGAGGAAATGATAACAAAATCACTTGCAGATGCCTTAAAGTTTCTGTATGTATGATCTGTGTATACAGTATAAGATCTTTGCTGATAGCTGTTGCAAAAATCTATTTGCAGGCACTAAAACTAACCAAAACAATGAACAGAAAACAGCATTGGAGGAGACTGGCCTGTAACAAGAGCAGAGGAAGAACTCAGGGCCTTGGTGAGCATGGAGAAAATGACAAGGTCTAAAGACCAAACAGAAATTAAGCTGGCTACTGCAGAAAAAGATAATAAAGTATTCCTATAAAAGCATTAACAACCAAAGAAGGGCTAAGGAAATCTTTATCTCAGTTCAGTTTTGGACCCTTCATACAAGAAAGATATTGAGGTTTAACTCCCCACAGTCCAATACCTCAGCACCAGACTCTTAGCATTTGACATTTAAAACCCCTGGGAGTCTATGACAAGAGCTTCCAGCAAAGCTGCAAACATCAGATACGCTTACCAAGAAATAAAAAAATGTGTATGTGTACTAGGGCAGTGGAACAATTCAATATAAAATTTATGTACAAATATGAGCTAAATCCTTCAACATCTGCAATACAATGTGGTAATTTTTTTGTTATCTAAAAAGAATGCTGCAGAGACAGGAATGTTTCCCACCAGGCTGAACTGACAGATCTTCAGACCAGAATCCAGGCAAGGACCAGGGAGCACAGAGAATTAAACACCAAAGCCTTCACCATTTTCTGTTCCCATGGCTTTAAATTCTGTCAAAATGGAGGCAATTTTCACAGAGCTGTTGGAAGTCACCTGTAACTCTTCAGAAGCATTTTAGGTGCACAAGCTACAGCACATACAGTAAGATTAGTTCTGCAATTTTCCTTCTGCTCTTTCCCCCATCTCATCCTGTTAAATGCAGTTGAGTGGGTTTGCTTCCAACAATCTGATGCATAAAGCAAGTGAATTGATCCAGTGCATTAATTGTATTGTATGCCTTTTGTGTAGTATTTGGGTGTAAACTTGGTATAATTACATAGCCCCAGACTTGGGGTCTAAGAACCTAATTGCAAAATAATGTGATTATCTGATATTACATTTAAAAAATTTCTTTACCAAATACTGTAAATTCATTTCCACTGTTATAACATAATTCTGAAAATTCAACTCTAATGAGGAACTTGTCTGAGAATAAGCAGCTGAAGTGAATACTCACTACAAGAGTTTATATACTCTATTTTTGTATTCATCACTGAAAGCAGTACAGGTGAAATTCTGCTTTACAGAATTGCTTCACAGAAGCAATAGAAAGTTACCGAGTTAAAAAAAAAAATTAGATTTATTCTCAGAGAAAAAAAAAAATCCTTTCTGACAACTGTCTTAACTGGACTGAAAAAATTCACTTTATAATACATCATTGTATTATGATAAATATATCCCCAAATAAGCAAGATTCGATGAAATAAGGACTTTTTATGCAGCACTATAGCAAGGAAGCTATAGTGCTGCATAAAAGCAGCACTACAGCTTCCTTGCTGTAGTGCTGCAAGTGCACGTAGTGCACTTGCACTATGTAGATGTGCTATAGTGCACACCTCTCAAGTATGGCAATGCTTTTGTAATTAAAAACTGCAATTTCAGGTAGGAGATTTGAGTTCCTGTGATCTAGGTGCAGGGATAGTATTTTAATACACATTACTCTTGTAATAGAAAGACTGAAAACAGTTCATAATAGGATTCAAAGACATAATTACAAAATTATAACTTTGAGTCCCAACCCCCCCACCCTAATCCATTACTGACTGCATTACCCATATTTAACCATAAGCCATCCCACATTACAACAGGAAAAATTGTTTTCATAATGACTTTAATTTTTTAATGTTAAAGCATTCGAGATTAGTTACTGTGCCCCAGTTCACTCACTGCACAGTCAAGCAATGTGGTATTTTGTGACAGAAATTTGAAGAAGATGCATTGACTGTGCAGTTTGAAAAACCCTGTATTTTTAGATAATTTTCAACCATGGTACAGACCAGTCTGTGTAAGTGTGTTTAATTTTCTGTTTGGACTTGGCACAATAAATCTTTACAATATTAACAGGAAATCTTTAATAAAATTTTTTCTATCATCACAATCAGGGAATATCTAAAACTACAGAGAAAAAATGAAATTTACACCAAACTGCTCATGATTAAATCTTAGTCATTGTTTAGACAAGTGATATTAATAATACTAGGAATACCTAAACATCAATCTTACAAGATAGCAACTTTACAGAATAGATGTTAAGCAAACAATTTAATATGAAGAGAGTTTTACAAAAGAAAACAGCAGCCCCAAATATCTTGTGGGGAAAAAAGTGAACATTAAGTGAATCAAACAGGTCATACTATGTGTATGTCAACAGCTCCTCAAAATTAACATGACCTTTACATATGGTTAGGGCTTACAAAACACTGTTCATGGTACTTAAACAAAAAACCCCAGCTGTTTGCCCAACAGACTAACAGATACAAAAAACTCAGGTCTGTAGCATTTAGCTTAACACAGAGAATGACCTTACACTTACACATCCTGTTAACTTTTGTGAACAGTTTGTAGTTCTGTATAGAAAAATGGATCTGACACAGCAGTCAGCCAAATGTGAGAACAGGCACATAGAAAAACTTGCACAACACACAAGACTTACAGACTCTCAAGAGAATTCTTAAGCTTTCTGCAAGATGGAGATTTATTGCCCATTTACAAAGAACAAATAGTAATTACAAGACAAATATGATAATTAAACATACAAGCTCTCGAATTGTACAAAGAGAATAATTTCTCATGGTTGATGTGCACAGTTAAAAACAGTGCTAGCTTAAGAGACCTTTGCAAAGATGCAGTGTAATCCCCTGCAGTTACAAGGGGACGTGACTGAACAGGTAAGACACTGATTCACCATTGTGTGTTCTTCGAATTGCCTCTGCCAGGATCATGGAAATGTCAATAAACTGAAAGAAAAATTGAGAAGAAAAATTTGATGGCATGCCAAGAGCAATAAACTATACAGTTTAGAACCATATAAACATTCCATCTACCTTTGTAGCTTTTATTTCTAGAAAGTAATAAAACACTAAAGCTTAGGCATTTAATATACACATAAGAACTGCAATAATACCAAATAAGAATTCAAAAATCGAGTAAGAAAGCATTGACTAGGATCACTGAACAGTCATATTGAGTACTTCTGACAAGGCGTGTTGTCAAAAAGCCCCAGTATTCTTGCCATCAGATGGCAGTGTCTGCCTGACATAAATACAACTTAAAGGAAACACACCTTTTTGTGCTTGCACTGTTTCAATAAATATCTCATGTTAAGCTTTTAAAAAATCCAGTAATGCACTTAAAACCTCAATCTTTTATGCTTTGCTCCACTCTGTACTAAGAAAAACCTCCAAAAGTGACTTTTCAGAACAATTCCATTTGTATTTTTCAAGAAAAAATAATGTTGCCTAAGATTTCTGTGGCCTCCTCAACAAAATAACTGAGGTCCTACATGCAAATATTGTATGACTAATATTGATTTTTTAAAAAAAGAAGAGAAACCTAGTCAATTTTACATTTGTCACTCTTCCAATCAAGCATACTCAAGGTGTGGCAAATACCAAATATTTTGAAGTGCCTATTATATTACCTGAATCCCCTTAAAGCAGTTCTTCTGCATGTTTTAGCAAAATGTTTTGCAAACAATGTATTTGAGAGTATTAATTTTATCTCAAGGCACAAATTCTAGCACTAGTGAGCAGTAAAATACAAATACTGAATCTAAAGAAATGACATAACAACACCACTGTACCTGTATTTTTGGGCAATGTTTCATTTTCTCCTCCTGGGGGATTGTGTTGGTTACCACAACAGCCTCAAATGATGCATTATTAATCCGAGAGAGGGCAGGACCAGAAAAGATGCCATGAGTTAGAATGGCATAAACTTTAGTAGCTCCAGCAGACATTAACCTGTAGAACACACAAAAATAGCATGCTGTGATGCATGTATACATACATCGCTATAGATGAAACTGGATACAAATCTCTAAAATACATTTTACTTACAAAGTCACATATAAAATACCTACAAAATAATTCCCATATTTGTATAACCTGAAGAAGTTTGAATTGTCTCAGAAAAATTCCCAACAAAAATCATAATTAAATGAAAAAGTTCTTATTTGCAGCAGTGATACTAATCTACAATTCTGCACTTTTGACCATACCAACAAAACATAAAAATGAACTCCAGTACAAGCTTTCTATTTTAACCAGGCAAAAAATTAAGTAGTTTGGATGGCAGTATTCACAACTCTATTGTGCCTCCATTATTGTCCACCTTTATTTTCATTTGCAATTCAAACAGTTCTGCTTGGAAGGAGTTTCTGAGGAAGAAGAAATGTTAATGATTAAAAGCCTAGCTTACTACAAGGTTGTGGGAAGACTTGCTGCTGATCCAAGCACTCAGTGAAGTGATGCATGAGGAGGAAAAAAAGTATAAATCAAAGAACTAGAACACCTTGTGAATGAGCCAAAATATCCTAATTTAGTTTCTAATGGCCTCAATGCCTCTAGATTCTCAGCTATGTCCTACCTGCTTCTCTAGCCTTAGAAACAGAGGCCCTGAGGGATGGCATTTTATCAGATCATCACAAAGGCACACAAGGAAGCATAAAAGAGGAAAAAAAAAGACAAAACCACAGAAACATCATCTCATTTTGAATGATTTAATAGAATTTAAGTTTTCTGGTCATTTTCAGCACTACATTTAGTACCTGCAGCCTACAAGGTGTATCCATTACAACAGGGTGAGTGTGTACCAAGTGTGTGTACTTGAGTTTGTACTTAAGCAAACTGATTTGTTGTATCTGAAAATATGTTCCTCAATTCATCTGCTTGATATGCATCAATGTTGCTGAGACAAAAAGAGTTCTAGGGAGTATTTTGGTGCATGAGTCTTGTTCACAAAGTACATCCCACCTGGATTTGAGATAAATGAAAAGCACAAGTTCATGCCAAGAACACGACACAAGGCAGCATCACTGAAGCAAAAGCAACTGCAGATACATTGAAGGTGATTGACAGTTTTAGAATTTGGTATATTTCGTCTCTAGAAATGTACTGCAGGCAAATAAAGAGTGCTTCTTTCAAAACAGGAAAAAAAAAATAAAGGTTTTTGACCGGAAATAGCTTCCTCTATGCACAAGGGTACTAAAAAAATTTTAGCTAGGCAATTCTGATTTTGATCTGCAAGGGGCACAGCCTAAAAGAATACTTTGAGGTGTGATGTAGATTAGAATGCAGATAGCAAACAACTACACAACATATCTGCAAAATTTCATCAAATTTCCATGAAAATTGTAAGAAACACAAGGCTATATGTCAGTTTTGACATCCTTTATGTAGGTGCAAACAGCAAGTGTACAACTAAAGACTGTAAACTTGTGAGATTAACTTCACTTAAAACCACCAAGAACAATGTCTAACTCACTTGTTGCTTTCATACCATTTCCCACAGCAGTCCCCTGTGGAAATTTGCATCATGTAGCTTGTACAGGTATACTTTTCACTGGGCAAAAAACAGGTTGGATGGCTGGACCCAGAAAGTGGTAGTGAATGGAATAACATCCAGCTGGCAGCCAGTCACTAGTGGGGCTCCCCTAGGGCCAAACCCATTCGACATCTTCATCAGGGATCTGGACAAGCAGACTCAGGGCACCCTCAGTTAGGTTTGCAGGTAACACCAAGCTGGGTGGGAGTGTCCATCTGCCTGAGGGCAGGGAGGCTCTGCAGAGGGATCTGGACAGGCTGGATCAATGCACTGAGGCCACTCGTATGAGGTTCAATAAGGTCAAGTCCTAGGTCTGCACTTCGATCACACAACTCCATGAAGTGCTACAGGCTCAGGGAAGAGAAGCTGAAAAGCTGTCAGGCAGAAAAGGACCTGGGGGTGCTGGTTGAGAACCAGATGAACACAAGCCAGCCTTACTATTAACCTGAACAGAACTGGCATAAAGGCACCTGGAAAGCTACAAATAATCCTTTCTATTTAGCACTGCTAGAGCCTTAGTTAGGATAGGGGGTCTACATTTGCAAGCTCCTCTTCAAGAAGGAGAACAGCTGGAAGGAATCCAGAAGGCATCACAATTGAGCAGAAGTCTACAAACCTTGTGGAAAAACTGAACAAACTCAAGTTACTCAAGTCAGGAGGGAAATGAGAACTCAAACCAGCTTTCAGACAAAGACAGGAAAACTTATGCTCACCTCCCGAGATGAAAAGGACAAGTTGTTTTATGCTCAAGATGTACAGTGAAAAGTAATATTAAATTTGCATTGGACACTATGGTGAAAATACTTTACAGTGTTAAATCCAGTAAAGCTTTGTTAAAGATTGCCTAAGGAGAGTGGGAAGGCTCCATGATGAGGTTCAAGGAGGGAATGATTTTTGATCTGTTGTTTCTGCCTTGGAACTGTAAAGTGCACTAGATGGCCCAAACCCTTTTCAAGTTATGACATTTTATTTATTCTGTGCTCTACCTAGGTACAGATAATATATTTCTGTAAATATTTTCTCAATTTCATGTTCTAAAGAAGGACACAGCTGAATCACAGAACTGTGACCTATCAATTCAAGGGTCAGAATGACTTCATACTACAGAGGTCAGGTTGGGTTATAGGCTTTGAGAACAACTGTATTCATCAGCTGTGCAGTGAGTGAGAACACTACAGTGAGCCAGATCATAATAACACTTACTTGTCTGCTGCATGACATATTGTGCCACATGTGTCAGCCATATCATCGACAAGAATTGCTACTCTGTCTTTCACATCACCAACCAAGACCATTCTGTCCACTTCATTTGCCTTCTTTCTTTCCTTATGAATGAGAGCAAATTCCACATTCAGTCTGTCAGCAATTGAAGTAACCCTAAGTTACAGGAAGAAATACATCATGTTTAGAGAACCATTTTAAAAGGAAAAACAGTCATATAAACGTTTTTGTCACAAAACACAGTTTTTGTCTTCTGGCTTTCAAATTACCACAGCAAAAACTTATGCAAGAAATGAGACAGGTAGAAGCAATCTTAGATCACTGCTAATTATGAACCATAATGTCTCAAGCTATACTCCAAAAATTGGTTTTTTAATTGAGTTGACTTTGGTTTTCTGTCTGGCTTTGAAAACATTTCAGCTATTCACAAGCTTTTATTAAGCTGCTGCAATACCAGTCACACTAGGTAATTTAAAGTAGGGGGAAGTCAATTCTAAGCCTACGGGAATGTGCACTTTAACACTCTAACTGGAAAATACTATTGCAGGGTTTGAAACCAAGCCAAAGGGAGAAAAAAAACCCAAACAAGTTAACAGTGATTAATAATTCTTTTCGCAGTACTTGACTAGTAATCAAGTAGCTTACTTCATTAATAATTCCCTTAGAATACATCTGCTTAACAAAGATCTTTTAAAACTCTTCAGGGTGACCTCTGGTGGCCAAACAAACTTCTAATAATAAACTTGTTACAGACTTCTGATTGCTTTTTCCCAGTTTGTTTAAAACAGTAGAGCTCTTAGGTATAAAGAGACATGAATAAACAATTCCATGTTTTTTTAATAAATGCTAATGCAACCTTTTAGCCTGCCTTTTTAGGCTGTATCTAAAATGTTGTTTACAAGATTATTAACATGCATGGTTAATAGAGAATACAGTTTTGTTTCTTTACCACTTAAATATGGAAGTTTTAGCTACTGCTTTTCAACAAATGGATGATAAAAAAAATCCTAAATTTTTGGCATTTTTTTATGGATAGTGTAATTTCATAGCAAGTCTCAATACCTCAGAGGCATTAAGATATCAACAGAATTTCCATGCCTTATTTCAGTTGCAACATCTAATAAGCTGGGGAAAAACCAAGTGAGTTGTAAGAAACAAAAGAGAATTCAAGTATTTTAAATGAGTGCAAGAAAATTGATTTATTTTAAATTAATACTTGCAGATTTAAATTTTAAGACAATTCATGTTCAATTTTCACATTCCATTAATTTTTTATTAGGTTTAATTTTGAAGTTCTACACATTTTAAATGGAAAGGCCAAACAATATTCTTTACATTTTATTACTGGAGGTGAAGGAGAAGCTATGCATTTATTGAGAACAACATCTACCCCTACTTCACTAGAAACTGGTTGGTTGCATTACAACAGAAAGATACTAAAGACAGACTGTATTATCTATATTAAATACAGTGAGAGTGACCTTTCAAAAATAAACTTGTATGATTAATTTGATAATGCATAAATATTTGGTAGGGGGAAAATTCTGTGTTCTGACTTTAATTCTAAGCAAAGATTGTATTTTGTGTTAAAAACAAAACCAACACAAAAATCAAATGCAAAAATAACAGTATCCTGATAGGAACAAAGGAAGAAATTTAACAAAGTGATTTTTTTAGAATGTGGTCTATGTTCTTCACATCCTTAACTTGATTAATTTAAAAAAAAACCCAAAAAATTAGGAGTTCCACTCAGTCTTATTTCCCTAAAAATCATTACAACATGAATACTCACAACAGACTCAAGGACTTCAATTAAAATCAAATTATCACAGTCTTTCACACTTTTCCCCCATACTACATTTCAGACATTTAAATTGCTGTGGGCTTACAGGAGCCTTACTTCATTTGTCTTTGTTCCCTCTGCAGCAGCAGCATGAGCAATAAAACCTGAGAATAAGCATTTTGCCTTAATGGCATGCTTTATGACCTCACCAGTCTGCTTCTGAGCTTTGGCATTGGTTTATACTCAATCAATACCAAATAAAACAGAGTCTGCTAATTGAGTAGCACATGCTGTGAATGAAGAACGCTTCCAATGATCTAAGTTTTCTATTTGTGCCCTTTGCCATTCAAACTTTCATTCCCTTTTGCTAGTATTTATAGTGCAAAACTTGGGGTCAGCAGGTTTACATCTCGAACGCAATAATGTAGAGAAAAAAGAATTGAGTCCAGCAAGCTCTTACCTAAATGCCAGCAGGTACAGTGGGAATAGGCCATATGCTTTGACAGAGAAGGGAAGCTTAGGCAATTCCAGAGCGAAGCAGGAAGAGGTGCAGCAACTTGACTAAAGAAGCAAGCAGCAGGAAAAATCTCTTCCCTCTGGTGGAGGGATTCAGCTAATGAGGCCATATCCAGGGAGAGAGAAAAATATCTTCTTTAGAGTATAGAAAGCTCCTGAATGTTTTCAAGCATGAACAGCATTGGAAGAGCTAGTTGTTCTGTTTTTACAATACAGTTGGATTAATCAGTGATGCACCCTATATCTTACACAATTCATAGAGGAATATAGAAGACTAGACAAATTATATCATGTACCACTAACTACATGTACATCCAATTGGTTTAGGCTTGTATAGTACCTTTTTGCACCACCTGCATCAGGTGAGACTATGATACAGTTTCTCCACTCGGGAATGTTCTCTTTAATCCACTGCAGGACTGCAGGTTCTGCATACAGGTTGTCTACTGGAATGTCAAAGAAACCCTAGTCCAAAAGAGAAAGAGTTTCATGAATATGTGTCTGTATCTTACCTGGAATGAAGACAAAGGGAAAGAATCAAGCCTTTGCCTTTCATGAATGGCAGAACTTCATTAGTATTTTACACTGGTCTAATTCTGCTTTTGATACTACTGTCAGATGTTGCTTAAGTCAAATAAACTTTAAGGTCTTGAAAAATATCACCCAAGAGTAGTGAAAAAGGAAACAGGTGTTCTCAATTGATGTAAACATCAGAAAAGATGATCACCTTCAGGCACTCAAGTAAATTCATGCTAGTGAAAAGCTCTCAAAACATCCAGGGAATAATACTCAACTTCCATAAATTTCAACTGCTTGACATTAACAGCAGTATTTCAACATGGGGAGGACTCAAACTAAAATGGAATCCTTGTACAAGTTGTAAAAACAAGAAATCTGGTTTAGACCTTTTTATTTATGTGACAGCCATCTAGCATAATAAGAAATTCTGATTAAATGGAGCTCCAGAACTGAAAGATATGGTGTTTTCTGTAAAAAATAAGTTCTCTTAAAACAAGGTACACATGAGAATGACAAATTATGTCTGCTCTGTGTCTGAGACAAAGGGTTTGTGATTTGTTGGATTCAGCAGTAAGCCCGATAAGGGTTGCCAGGCTCCATCTCCACTTCTTTTAAGAAAATATTACACCCTTGGCTGTAACAACAAAACTCTACCTAGGGCAACACTACAATCTCTGACAAGGCTAAGATGAAGAGAACTTGCCCCAAGCCAGTATTTTTTATATTCTGGAAGCTCTTACATTAGACTTGGCAAATTCTACCAAAGACTCCAAAGCACAAATATTTGAAGTAACTGCAAAATCACCCTATAAAATCGAGACTGGTCTCTTTCTAAAATGGAGTTTCATTAGAAACAGGTAGCAAGACTTTCTCTGAACCCTGTACAGTCCGGTACATAGCCTTTCAAAATAATGACCAAAGCCACAGAGAATTACTATCAGCTTATCACATTAATTCAGTAGAGCTCCTAGGACAGCAGGTAAGAACCAACAGTTACCTGGATCTGAGAAGCATGCAAGTCCATGGTGATGATGTGGTCAGCCCCTGCAACTGACAGCATGTTGGCAACAAGTTTTGCAGAGATTGGTGCACGGCTCTGAGAAATAAAGCACAAACATTTACATTTAAAAAATATTTTGACTGGATGCAAAGAATCAGAAGATTAGCTATTTTTCTTGGCTTTTTCCTTCACAATATTTGGAATCTAGATATAAAAATGTTCAGAATTTCAGTCAAACTCGCCTGTCAATCTTGTTACTAGGTTTTTGAAACTCAGTAAAGCATTTAGGAAGATCTAAATCAGTTTGCACAGTCTGCCTAATAATACTTTGTATTAAAGAGATAAAATTTGGGATATAGTTTTCCAATTCTTCTACTTAAAAGTTTCAGCTAACTTCACTTCTCTACTCCACAGAAACACTCAATTCTATCTTGTTCTAAGAAACATTGCAAAACCCAAAGATAGAAGGCAAAATGAACCCAACTTATGAGAACGCTGCTTTAAAACAATGTTAGTATCAAGCATTTCTTCATAACACGGTAAAGCTTGCAGCACATCCTTGTTGGTAGGGGTCTTTTACCCTGACCTTTTTTTTTTTAAATTTATGTTTAATTCCTGGATGCAATTAGGAGTCTAGAACTCCCAAAAGGTAGAGGGGAGGATGAAGAAATCCTAAGTAGAAAGAGTGAAAGAAGAATAAAAATCTTATTATCAAAGTTAATGCCAATGTCAAGAGGTTTTTAAAAGCATCAAGGATGCAGAACAAAAAAATCAAAAAAAGGAAAATATTACTGGAGAATACCTCACTTTTTTTTAGTTACTCCAAAATTTTTCATTTTTTAAAGCTCTATAAAAACCTGTGTTTCCCTAGACAGCTTTCTCTAAGCAAAACCTCCTGCTTTCTTTTGCTAATCTTTAAATAAGGCTAATAGCTGGCAATAACATTAGCATGAAGGCAGAACTGCAAGTCAGAGTTTCCATCTCAAAATCAGACTGCTTTCTGCTGGCACAGTATTCTCTCCTGCTACGTCTCTTTATCAAACAGCCTCATTTCATCTCCCAGGAACTTCCTCTCCTTCCAGCCCATACACACAATTACAGAGTACCTCTGCTTTCCTTCCATTGGTGCTCAAGGGCATAAGTGACACTGAGCTGAATCACTGACAATTTAGCCTGGATATTTTTCCATCTGTGTCCTATCAAGGAGCCAATATTTCCATCAAAACTGTTCCTAGTCTAGGTGGACACTGGACATTTCTTTGTTTTAACCTGCAGATTGATAACACATTTCCAGAATAGAAACTGAGATACTGCAGTCTCATTTTATGGCCAGATCAAGTTTGTCACCATCATTACTGAAATTCTTCATTTTGGAAGCCATCCTTTTCAGGTGTTGTGTTTCACAGAACATCACCATCATTTTGTCTGTGTAAGACACGCAGAAAGCAGATGCAACAGCCAGCACTTCCCTAGATCTCTGCAATTCAGACTCATGTCGCTTCCAGAAGAGTTCATCATCATTACTGCTTCAGCACATTTGATTTTTCACTTACTGAGAACAACACTGCTCTTCATTTAAGTTCTGTTCTGTAAGTTGTCCAAAGCTTTCTGGATATTTCTATTATTAGTGGCAAATTTTTGTTCATGCCATTTGAATTCCTCTTCAGTTCATTTTAGCATCTGAATTTTAAGGTGGACTTCAAAATACTCTCAAATCTCTGTCAACATCTAACAAAAAAAAAATGTATTATCTACTCTTTTCATTCTGTGGCAGTGTTCTCTTACCAGCTCTTTGCAAAGCTCTAGTTTAAAGCTGGACTAACAGGTAAATCTGAAATGAGAGGTTTGCTCTCCTGCTTGTACTATTCTATCTTTGCAGGCTAGACACATCCCTTCATGGGAACCTCATTTAACCTGACCTCATTATTCAGAAACTTGGATTGCAAAGGTAAATGAGAACTCCTGATTTTCCTTATAATGTCGTTTGTAGGGTTCCCTTCTGAAGAGAGAGGTCAAAGCACAGATTCACAGTATTCATTGTTCAATTATTTGATGCCATTTTAGATTATTTTCAGAATTATTAGTGTGAAATGCAGCATTAGATTATGTACAGAAACTAAATTGTTAAAAAAAAATCACTTGAATTACCAGTGGCAGGGGGAATCCACAAAGCTAATATAAACAACATCACAAGAGTAACTGTGCAAAGGACACATAGCTGAAAGTAAAAGATGTCCATTAAGATCAAAGCTCTGTTGCCTTAAAGCATCTTAGTACATTGTCTTGCTCAATATTCATCACATGCACACTGAACAGAAAAAAAAAATAAAAAAGAAAAAAAAGAAAGGAAATCAAAGAAAGCCCAAAGATTTATAACTGGAACTTTCACTTCCGAGAAAGCCAGTTGTGAAGTGTATGGATACCGAATGTTCACTAATGTATTACCCAAATTTATAATTTCAAAAATGAGATTTGCTTTGAAGCCTCAGAAATTGACAGCCATTATCTTGAATATCCAAATAAATTTTAAACTAGAATCTAGGGGTTTTCTTGTAGAAATTATTCCACAGAATTACTGTCATGGCCTAGGTGAAACACAACTGAAATCAAGAAGTGAAACTGAAAATGTTCCTCGTTATACATAATGTAACCCAGTAAGTTTCACCCTTTAAGGCCATATTAATGGAAATGCGTAGTGTTAGATTAAAAAAAAAAAAAAGATACCTACCCAACGCTCCACGGACCCCTTCTACAAATCAAAAAAACAAAGTTACATGAGCTGTAGAACACCAAACTCATCTGTCACTGTACTTCTAACTTATCTCAAAGGCATGTCTGCAGTATCCTACATAGATGTTTCCTGCCCACAGCTTGAAAGGTTGGCATAATTAGAGGATGCATAAGTGCTGTTAATAGTCAAAGCACAGAAACATCTGAGCTATTTTTAAGTTTAGCTAGCTTGTGCATGAGAAATATCCTAGTTTAGGGAACCACTTGACTGAATCTAAATTAATTTACTGACTTTATCATTCGCAGTAAGGCTTTGGTTTGTTTTTTTTTTTAAATCTTTTTCTCATTTAAAGATAGTTTAGGTTTAGTGCTAAAATTTTCGGAGTAGATTAGGTTGTTCAGACTGAGATTTTTACTGCAAGGCCCTTTCCTTACTTGACTAAATGAAGAGCACTTTCATTGCTCTTAGAAATCATAACTGCACCAGAGGTATGACAATACATGGTTATTTTAAGCAGCAGGGACTCAGTCTATTTATCTCATAATGAATTAAAGTCACTAACTTAAGTTCAAAATAGAAAACAACATCCATGTACTGAAGATTATACTGCTTCAGTTCACAGTCAAGTGAACTTCAGCAACGTCTTCCACCACAGAAGAAAATCTGTGTGTGATCATGGGAAGAAAATGGCTGGCACTTTACTGACACTTCAGGCAGCACACAAAGCTTGTGCACTCATGATGGGTCAAAGACCAAGTGATCTGATGCAAGCAGGAGGGAAGATGTCTCTGTCAATAAGCTGCCCAATGTTGACAGCTGTGTTATAGCTTATTTTGCAACATGGAGGTCAACTGCCAAGGTTAATTTCCAAAGATGGCAAACATTTTCTCAATTGCAAAAGAGAGGGGGGGGGAAAAACCCCACAAACAAAACCAACAAAAATATATGCCTAAAATTGTGGAACTCAGTGACACACAGAGAACAGTCTGGAAAAAAAATCTCAAAATCTCTATTAATCAAAATCACTTTCCTAGGCTATTCATTTTCAGATGGCATTTCTGAAATACAAAATGCTTCTGCATGGCATGCACTGTGCCACCACACTGGGGGGTTAAAATGTCTCTGGAATTCTGCCACATGAAATTTGGGTACCCTTGACAAGACAATTTAGATGTGTGGAAATGTTGGAATATACTCATCCTTTTCCCACACCAAGAATTTAGAGGATGGTACAGCAGAACTTCCCAACATGAAGCAGGAAATCAAAACATAGTGAGATGCTTTCCCTTCTTATCAACAAAATGCTTATTGGTACCCTTTTTAAGGTCTTTTGATATAAAGTATGTCAGCCCTTCTGATCAAGATAAAGCAGCAAAAATGAAGTACCAAGAGACACAGGCAAAGAATAGGGCCTGACTTTTTAATTCCTGGATTCCATTTTTGGAAGTATAACAAGTAGACTTTCATTGTAATAGTATGGTATTACAAAACCTGCACTTAAAGAATGAATATACCAGAAAATAAGGGGTTTTTTTTCTTAGATATCACAGGCTGACTATTACATATTTTGTAATAACTGCTATTATTTTTAGCTTCTCCATTACTTCATTTCTGTTAGGTTTTTTACCTAAAAGAATATAAAGACCAACAGAAGGCTTGCAAAATGGTTTGCTTGACGCCCAAAGTGAAAGGGCAGTCCATTTAAAAGAAGTAAAGGAGAGAGACAATTTTCCAAAAATGCAACCATTGCAATCCAATAATTAAAACCAAATTCACATTTCTTATTACTTCTTTTCAAATGAGCTTAGGTAGAAGTACCATCCATGTAACCTCTCAAAAGTTGGGGTTTTTTTTGTGTATATATAGTAAAGTCCAGTTTTCTCTTTTTTAAAATCAGTCTCACTTCCCACAGAGGGTTTGTTACTGTGTTACCAACTTGGCTGAACTGATATATTCATTAGTTATGACAGATAAAATTCAGGAAAAGGGCAATATAATCAGTAGAGCATTTATGGGGTTTCTATACCATGTCTTGTCTTCATAAATCAAAAATAATTATTGCAGATAGAATTTTTTCCAATCTGTGTGGCAGCATAAAATCATGTTTTTGTTAATTTCTGTTCTGTATTGTGGATTTTATCGGTTCCTTCCATTTTGCTCTGTTTAATCATCTAGGATAAAACCTACCTACATAATTGTTACAGCATTTTGAATTTAGTATTTAATTCCATGCAACTAAAATTTTTAAAAAGGTGTTCTCTCCACATTAATAAGGATTAAAAAGACCCAAAAAAACTTTGAAAAAGCAATGCAAACAATCCCATAAAATGCAGTTTTCTAGCAAAGTACTCTGCAATAGACCACACACATAGAATATACCTACTTTTGCAAAATGAAAGCATGTCAATTATCAAAACACATGCAAAAAAAAATTTTTTTGTCTCACTTCATTCCTTGTGGATAAAATAATTGAACATTTTAGCAAGAGAAAAGAATGGGGGGGAGGTAAAATCTTTTAAATTACTTAGTTGTTTATGAAAATTGTTAATCTGCAAAAATTTCAAGCAAGCAAGCTGAACAGAAGCCTTCCAAAATGACACAATTCTTACCTACCTTGTCTTTCTTATCTTGCCTGGCATATGGAAAACAGGGAATTACAGCAGTCACTCTGGAGGATGATGCAATCTTGCAAGCATTGATCATGATGAGCAGTTCCATTAAGTTGTCATTTATTTCTCCACAGCCACTCTGGATAATATACACATCTTCCCCTCTCACACTTTCACCAATCTCTACACTGAAAGAGCAGGAGATGATAATTTCAACACTTAAATTACTGGAAAGGCATTACTAAAAAAAGGTTTTAAAAATTCAGTTGTGTTTTAACAAACTACCATGGGTCTTCTGTAAATTTCCCATTTAGAGTAGGATTATTTTTACAGTGATTTCCCTAACAGCCTCATTGACAATTTCAATATAAGTCAGTATGGTCTTCATCAGGTCAGCACCAACCAACATCTATAAAATCTACACCATGATGTCCAAGTAAACTGTTTTTAAAAGACAAAAATCTTGCAGAAAAGCTAAGAAGGCTGCTACTCAACAGCCCACCGTGGCTCAACTCTCATGTTGTGTCAATTCTGTTTCCTCTGACTGTGCTTAGGTGCTTTGGTTCCTTATGTCAGTATCTAAGTTATTTTGTTCTTCCACAGATTTCAAGACAAATTTTGGGATCAATCACTGCTCACATTACAGAAATCAAAAATTAAATTGAACTTAAAAAGAAACAGGAAAAATAAAAACTGCTGAATGCATAGTTCTTTCTCAATTCTAGACCCAAGCTAAAGACATCTACTGCTGAACCACACTAACTTTTCACACCTGTTATTCCAAAAATTGCATACAAATATAACAGAAAAACCTTAGTTTTTCCCCAAATCCATGTACAATGTACACAAAACATACAGACTTCCTAAATAATTAAGTGCTCAGACCTTGCAAATCCATGCTCTACTATGCTAGTCTCAGTTATTAAATGCTAGAATATATTGAACCCTTGTTTAAAAGGTTGTATCTTTACCCAAGACACAAATAAGCAGAAGTTTGACTGGAAACCATCCAAATGGCCCAGATGTGGGTAGAATAATTTCTCTAATTCAATGCCTTCAATGCTGAGGCTTGCTCTAGTCAAACACAGTCCTAACAAGTTTTGTTTATCAGCTCTCAGGGTGCTATGCAAGACTCATCAGCTTTCTACAGAAAGGAATTTACTGCTTTCAAACATCTTGATGATAAGCACACATTGATTTAGCACTATCAAGATAGTTGAGTACATGCTCTCAGCTGCCCTATTTGAGTTCTCTGCAGCCCCAAACAAATTATATAAAGATCCTGTATTAATTTTTCTCCTTAACTGAATGCATTTTTTGCCTAAGTATGCTACTAGCAGGATTTCTTAAGGTCAAAAGAAAGTAAATCATCAAACATCAGATCTCTGGAAGGACAGAGGTGGTCAGGGACAGCATCATTTGCAGATATGTCAGGAAACCTTTGGGAGGCTTTCATCACTCCACAAAGACACAATTTTTTAGTCACAGAATTGTTATTTCCCTCTCCAAGTTTTTGATCAACGGAATGAGGCTATTCAAAGAATTCTGTTTTGATTGAATATTTTCTTAGTTTATTTCCCTCTTTGAAGCTGGACAAGTTTTGGTCAACATAACACTTTTTCAGCAAGATACTAAGTGGGGTACAGGCTTAAGTAGGAGCCCTCCTGAACACAAACCCAGCTCCATGTGAAGAATCTACTCACAAGCTTACTGTGGCTGCAATCATTATTACAGCTTTGTCATTATCATGAGGGCTTAAAAAAATTCTAATTACACCCTGACTCAGCAGTTACACAGACCTGCTTTATAAAGAGTGTTGTCTCATACCACACCTTTGGAATATGCCCAAAGAAAAATGATTTTATTACTTCGGAAGAAAAAAAAAAAATGAACGGCTAATTTAAACATTACATACTAGGAAAAAAATTGGCTGAGTGACAAAAGTATATGATCTTAATGTTCACTATATACTGAAAGAACACTTGGAGTTGTTTTACTTTTTTTAAAAACTCTTCTATGCACATCATTAAAATAACAGTTTTCAGGAGGTCAAGGAATATACTTTCAGATAAATAAAGGTCTGGTTAATACTGTGTACGTGAAGTGATGATTTTTCCATTGTCATTAATTATATTTTTTCTTATGATCTTGGGCAACCAATAAACATCAACTTGTAATCAACTTGGAAATCAAACATGTTACTTCTTTCTTTCTTAGTGCATTTGAAAAAGAAGCATAGCTATGTTTTTAAGGCTAGAATGACATACTTGTCACATAGAAATGTGAGTAGTCACATTTCCCAGTCAACGAGACAGAGCTGTGCAATAGATCAGTATCTCTTACTATCTACCTTCTCAAAGATTGGTGTTGAGGTATTGTATGGACTCAACCATCAACAGATAGACACAGAGCTGCCTATTTCACCTTCCCCAAGCCCCAAAAGTGAAAGATAACCAGTCATTGTGTTGCAAGTGTTCCATCAGATACAGCCTGGACTAACCACACTGGTGGGGGTTTGGGTGGTGGTTGGTTTTTTCTTTTTTTTTTTTTTTTTTGCTTTTTGGGGTTTTGTTTGTTTTTGGGGTTTTTGTTGTTGTTTTGTTTGTTTTGTTTGTTTGTTGTTGTTTTTTTGTTTTGGTTTGGTTTTTTTTTTACTGAAGGGGGGATGGGATTTGGTGTTTTGTTTGTTTTTGGGGTTTTTGTTGTTGTTTTGTTTGTTTGTTGTTGGTTTGGGTTTTTTTTTACTGAAGGGGGGATGGGGAATTGGCAGTTAGGGTTTGTTTTAGTTTGTGGTTTTTTTGCCCCATCCCTTTCTCTTTTTTTTCATATTCAGGCAACCATTAAAAGATTATACACTAGAATCAGGTATTTGAATGTTGTATTTCAAATATCTATTAGACAGCACTAAGCTAACTGCAGCCACACTCTGTGACAGTTATCTTATTAACATTCCTACTAAATAACTCCCCCATCTATATCATGACCTTATTAACTGTTTATGAGGTTATTTAAACAATTTCACATAGTCAGGACACAGAGGAAGGACACAAAAACAAGCTCTTGCCTCAAGATTAAAAGCTCTGTTTGTTTTATGCAATTTAATCAAATTCAGCTATTTGGTAACAGTTTAAATAAATTTCTGTTCAAGAAGAGTCAACAGAACCTGTACATTAAAAAGCCCTGACACCACATAATTGTGTTTAAAAGGGAAATTTACAAAAATCAATACCAAACAAAAGTAATTAACTCTGAGCCAGTTGCTTGGCATCCAGGAGGACAAGGCTCTAGCTGGGAAAGATACACATAAGACAGGACATGATGAATACCAAGTTTAAGTGTTGGTATCTGCCTTCAACTTGCAAAGGCTGATTTGAGTGTTCCATTTAATAAGTAGAAACTTGGACAGACTAACAACCATGAATTAAGGATACAGCATAAAACCCACTTAGGTTACAAACATATTTCAGTGGCTGAAGCATCCATTATGAAAAAATCAGAATCAGGAGTAATAGCAGATTGAGACCCTTTTGAGCTAGATTTATGGTGCAGTCCTAGCTGAACTTAGTGATGGGAATTACAAATTTGTATGTCCTAACTAAAAACCAAGCAGCTGTGGGGAAAGGGAATTAAATATGTAGAGCCAGACTACAAAGGTAAATAATGTCAATACATAACTAGGATGTTCAAATGATACACTTATAAAGGGCTTGATGTATTAAAAAAAATAATTACAGCAGTTTAAGTTTCTAGCCATGCTTATAAAAAGTAAGGTTCCTCAAGCAAATTAGATGCTAATAAAGTAGATATGTACTTCAGGCCAGTCCAACACCCAGAGAAGAGGCCAAAAATGAAGGTCTAGAGTCCTCATACAGTGTGCAAATGAATCGATAACTCAAAAGTGATCAAACAAATCCACATGCTGAGTTTGCAACTCATTGAAACCCAGCCAATGGCAAGCACTGAGCAGCAGGGTGTGTTTGACCTCTTACCTTTGGGAACACATTTCCCAGAGTAAAGTCTTTCAACCCAAGAGTTTCAACTTACTGGGCAAATATTTCATCTGATGTGATGTAATATAATAAAGTGGGTACCAGCAAAGCCCAAAACAACAAAGAAACAATAAAAATGCCAGAGCTGGTTTTAAGGCTACAGGGATCCCTGGCACCCATGGTGTCCCCTCCTCAACTCTAGGCTTTTCCACTCTGACTAACAGTTCCAAGACAACCCCCCACTATATCTTCATTAACAATTGCCCAGCTCTAATGCAGAGCACTGGTATGGCAAACAGCAGAAGATATTTCCTATCTTGTTACCCTCCACCCTGGCACACAGCCTGCCACAGCAAGAGGAAAACACCTTTTCTTGAGCAAGTTCTGGGTTTAACAACATGTCACCCAAAAAACTACCCCCCAAAATCTGTAAAAAACAAATGTCTAACAAGCCTGAACATGTGCAAAAACTCTTCAAAGGCTGAGTACCAAACTCTGCACCTCAGGACAGCTGGGACTGTCAGCCATTACCTACATGTATCACAGGTTTTGTTTGGCTTGCCTTTTTTTTTTCCTTTGGTGGCGGGGGGAGGTTGGTGGTGTTGTGGTTTTTATGGTTTTGAGTTTTTGAGGGTGAGGGGTGTTTTTTAATTTTACATATTTAGCATCTACACAAAGATAAAAGTGCATCTTACATGGCAAGGTCAAATAAATGGAAGTCTCCAACCAAAAGCTTTAAAAGGATTTGGGTCCTTTTCCAATTCAGAGAAATGAACAGTGCAATAAATGGTCACATTTGCTGTGTCTTCAATTCCCTGTACAAACAAAACACTGTTGTGGCTTTAACACATACAGTATGCAGTCCAAAAAAACAATTTTTACCTTCTCCAGCCAAGCTGGTAAAATCTGTTTCCCCAGCCTCCTCTAGTTCAGGACAGTGTAAGCAAGCTGGGAGAGAGGGAAACAGCTGCCCCCACTGAGAGAGACAGATCACAACCAGCCCAGCTGGGAATCACCTGCTCAGCAGCTGGGCAGTATGAAGAAACACTTCACATCCCTGTGTGTCCCTAGTCCCTACTGTCTTCAGCTGTTCTAACACCAGTTTGTGAGCTGAGCTTGCTCATTCCATGGTAAGGGATCTGCAAACACCAAAGCATCTACTCAGTGAGGGTGATACAGCTCACGGCTCCACACCAGCTGAACCCAAAGGAGCCAGGTTACATGAGGTGCAGTGGAATTATGCCCCATCTGAGACAACTGCAGTACAAGGATGCTGATGGGGAGATAAGAAGGAAGTGTTAAAGCCAGGTACAAATTGTAAATCCCTAAGGACACAAATTTCCAGGTTTGCTCTTCATTTTTCCAGTTACTTTCTTCATGGAACAAACTGGTTTCATTTTGCCACTTTGCGTGAAATACAGACTCAAACCCATCCTGGATTCTCCAGGGAAACATCAGCTACTTTTTCTTAACTTCCAAGATCAAATATCAGCCAGTTTAATTTACTCAGAAAAAAAGTGGCTCTCATATCAACAGCACAGCTTTTCCCATACAGCAGACAATGTCCCTTTGTAGTCATTCCATATTTCCTTCTGCAAAATCTAAATGACATTCACTTTAATTTGATGTTTCTGAAACAGTCCAACTTCAGCAGTTGAATAAGGCTGTGGTTAGGAAGCCTTCAAATTCACATGTGCCAGGCAGGACTTCAATTCCTTTCCTCTTGGATCAAGAAAATCTACAAGGCTCACTTCAGCCAGTGAATCTGACAGCAAGAAGCCAGGAACCTCACAAGAATTCATGGCAGCACTAACCATTTTTCACCAGGAGAAATGTGTGCAAAAACTACTGAGAGTAGTTTCTCCATTTTGAGAATAACAAGTATATCAAGGGCAGAATTAAAATAGTCTTTAGAGAAGGAAGAACACCCTATGTTGTAAGAAAATAAGATTATTTACAAAGTCAAATTTTTAATTATATCTTTTCAATTGACTCACCAAAAATATCTGCACTGGGGTTTAATTGTACAGCCACTTCAATTAAATGCCAGTGTATTTGAAGACAATTTTGCAAACAGCTTCAGTGTTTAATACCTGTATGCATCTGTTACATGTCAGTCAAACAGTTTCATGATGCTGAGGCTACAACAGCCACTCCTGTTCAAGGACTTCCATTCTTTCAGCCTCAAAACTGCTGATGACAGTTGGTTTGTGGGGTTTGAAGAAGATAAACTGACTAAGTCCCCACTGCAGTCCTTATCCTTTTGCCAGATAAATAAGGTGGTGCCACCCAAGCTCCTGCCACTGAGCCTGGCACTTAACTGACACACAGAGTTATCATCCACAACCAGCGTTTGAGGAGCTCTGGTGCTGCATTTGGTAGGGTTGCCTGACTTTAGTAGCCAGTTGAAGGAAAGCATTTCCATACAGTTTAAAGGGAAGGAGAAAAAAAATGGGGCAGTGGTTGAATCTCCCAGCAATTTCCCCAACTTTCTCAGCACAGACTTTACATTTACCAGCTACAGAACCTGAAAGAATATTGATTGCCTAAATCAGAAGAGGACTGTGATACTGTTGCTAGATACACCAGTCTCTATGCAGATAAAAATGAGAAACCTTTCCCATTTTAAATTTCTGGAGCTGTAAACATACAGGCACTGGCTGTTTAGCCACAGCGCTTGTCAGTGGTGGTCCTATCCCTGGCTAACCTCAGCATCGGTTTCTCAAAACCACTTACAGCTGCTGAGAACTGGGACTGAAACCTAAAGCCTGTTTGACTTGAAATATAATGCAAAATATTTAATAACTCTTCCCTCCACTTTATTCTGCAGGCCAGACTAATTACAACTCCCAAGTGAAGGGCTTCCAGCTAAGACTTTTTGCAAGGATTTAAGCCTGGGGCTGCACACAGCTGTCAATGTACGCATCATTTATATTTAAGAGAATGCAGAAAATAGCAAAATGGAGTTTTGAACAAAAGGTAAATCTTCTCTGCAACTTGCTAACTTAACAGATCTGACAAAACAAGAGTTTGACCCTGAGGCCCAGGCTTATCTGTTTGCATGAGGGGATTGCTGGAGTGCCACTGGAAGGTTTAAGGTTCTTTGAGCTTTTTAACTATCAGGTTTTGTATTCTGCAATACCGCAAGTGTATTTCATAATGCCAATACACTTGCTTATAAATTTAAACACTGAAGAAAAATTTTAAAAAAGTACTGTGCTAGAGTCATTATATATAGGAAGAAGTCATTTTTTTGCTTACATACACACACAATTTAAGAGTATAGAAAGACTGAAAATCCAGATCCTCAGGAAAGATCCCCTCTGCATAAGTATCAACTTTACTGGTAGCTTAATTTCAAATACATTGTTGAGGAATTCTCTTACTATTCTTGCTGGGGATTTCTTTATTAAGAACATTAGTCTAGAAAACTGGAAAGTCAACATCCTTAAGTAAGTTGCTAATAATACTGAAAAAATTAGTTGAAATATTATATAGCAGATACAACTTTACTTGCTGAAGGGGAAACAAGGAATTCAGATTAGACTCTCAAAAGAAGGAAGCTGTAAAACAAAACAAAAAAACCCAAATAAAATCCAAACACTTAAAGGTTTAAAATACAAAGCCGTATTAGTTCAGGGAATAAAATAAATTAAAAAAAATATAATGTCAGCCTTGCCATGTTGCAACAGAAGTAACCAGAAATAATGTTTCTAATAAATATGTTCTGCATATGTGTACATCGCTATTTGCCTAAAAAAATAAACTGGCACTACTAGATTAGCCAAACCACTGATATACTCAGTCACCACTGCCTTCTTTTTAATGGTAGAGAGAATATCCCATACCTGGAAAAATAGGTGCATCCTGAGGCCCAGAATTTAATTAACTTATCTTATAAAGCAAATATGCAAATTGTGGAGATAAATTTCTAAGTTGGATGAAATCTAAATCAATTTAGTTCTGCTGTTTGCTATGTTTCAAGCACAGATTAAGACAAGTGTCTCTGGAGAAGAAACATTTAAAAAAATTAGACAAGTTAGCGAGGAAGTCATGCAACCAAATACACAAGTTAAGTTTTATCATGCAGAAAGGAGATCAAAGAGCAATAAAGTGAGTATGGGGCTGGAAAGAATTGAGAGAAGATTTAATCAGGAATGAATAGAAGAGTTAGAGTGTGCAAACATTAGATTGCATAAACACCAATGGAAGAGGGTTTATAGTAATGCCAGTGAGCATAACCAGAACAAGAGCAACTGCACTGAGAATGCAAAAATGTAGACAGAAAAGGACAAGCTTTGTGAGAGCAATTTTAGAACACATCATGTTAATCTTTCAAAGGAAGCAATGAAAACATGCTTTTTCAGGAGACTCAGAACAAGAACAGATAAAAGTAAACACACAAGAACCTCAGAGACTAGCCAGCTATTTACAGCAGGAACTTGTGTTTCAGAATCAGCTGGCAGCCTAGACTCACATACCTATACAGAGAAGGAGTTGCAGTCTTGCCAGCTCATGGGGTGAACATACCACTGTCACCTCAATTTAAAATTCTTCATTAAAACTGAGCAAATTAAACTGGTGGGTCAGAAAGCTAAGATGACACACTAGTAAAGAGAGGCAATATTGATAGAAAAAGCACTGGCAAGCACATTCCCAGAGTCCAGGTGAGCAAGCTGTCCTCATGGTTTCACACAGGATTTTTTGCACTATTACCAGTTACTTTCAGTGTTTGGCTGGCTAGGAGTCTGGTATGACTCCACTTTCTGGAGTAAGCCAAGGCCATCACAACAACCTGTATCATGCTCATGCATGACCATCAGTCTTGGACTAGGGAGTGGAGTCCTACAGGAGCTGCAACTGGTCCACCACACACACACCTGGCTGCTAATGCAAAATAAAAACCAGTTGCAACAAATTCTGCAAGTGTTCTCGAGTGTAATTTGACTTAGATGCTTTTTAAAATCTAATTCAGCATCCTGTTTTTACATCTGCCTGTATGCAGACCTACTTACAAAACTGCATGGCATACTGTTGTTTATAAGACTATCTTTTTATCTTTAGGTAGACAAAGCTGATCAGCTGTGCAGTTAGCTATCTGCGAGGGTGCACCTGACGCCGCAGACGGGCTGCCTGTGCGAACACCATTCCCACCGCCCAGGAGGGAGGATGCTCTTCACCTGGCCGGGGCCGTGCCAGCCTTCCTCCGGCCAAGGAGCTCCCGAGCTGGGCGGGCACAAGCCAGCAGGGACACCTGCGGTGCGGTGCCCGTGTTCCGCAGGCGGGGGAAGGGAGGGGGCACAACCAGGAAGGAGTGCGGGGCAGGACACACCGCACCCCGCCGGGCAGGACACACCGCACCCCGCCCGCGGCTGCACCTGCACCGAGCCATCCCCACGCGGCTCAGCCGCCCTGGCAGGACCCGCGCCGGCCCGGGTGACAGCGGGGCGGGTGACACCGGAGCGGGTCCCGCCGCCGGCCCGGGTGACACCGGAGCGGGTCCCGCCGCCAGCCCGGGTGACAGCGGGGCGGGTCCCGCCGCCGCCGGGCCCGGGGGTGTGTCCGGGGTGCGCCCGTGACGCCAGCGGGGCGTGGGAAGGGCACCGGCGGCGGGGGCCGGGGCAGAGGCACGCACCTGGTCTCCTGGTTGCTGAACTTCTTGGTGACCACCTTGCCCAGCTCCAGCCCGAGCCGGTCCGCCACCCGCTGGGACAGGTCGTGGTGGGAGCTGCCGCTGAACAGCACGATGTTCGGCATGGCGGGGGCGAGCGCGGCGGGCGGGCGGGCGAGCTCGGGGCTGCGGCGAGAGCGGCAGAGGAGCGCGGGCAGCGCCGTGCGGGGTCAAATAGCGCGGAGCGGGCCCCCCCCGCCGCCAGGAGCGGGAGGGACCGGGGCGGGGCGAGCCGGGGGCGCCGCGGGGCACAGGTGGGGCAGGCCGCCCTTCGCGGCCGCGGGGGTGGCTGCCACCTCCTCCTCCTCCTCCTCCTCCTCCTCCTCCTCCTCCTCCTGGTCCCCGTGCCCAGCCCGGTGCGGCCCGTGCCCCCCTGGAGCAGCGCTCGGGCCGTTCCCCAGGCGGGCCGGGCTCTGCCCGCGCGTCGCTCCCGCACCTGGACAGAGGCACGAACGGGAGATCCTCGCCGGGGCTCGGCTGCCTGTGGGATATGTGGTTCAGGTCACCTAAATAAAGCCGAATACAGCTATAGCTAGGTTGATGTGAGGCTAGAGATCTTACTAGTTTTACTTGGCAAAGGTGTCCTTAAATAACCCGCGACCGATTCTGTGTAAACGCTACACATTTTCCATTAGCTTGGTTTTGTCGATTGTTGCTTAGAAATATGTTCATAAGCAAAGTGCTGTCTGAAAACTGACTAAGATAAAAGGTCTTAGCTTTCAGGTAGAGCTGTTTTAACTTGTACGTATACAAATAAATAGATTGTATTGGATAGGTGACTTCAGAACCACCTCAGTTCTCCTGTCTTAAGCATTTTCTTCAAAGAGCAGGGTCTTGAACACATGGTTATTTGTGTTCTGTCCATAGAATAATTCATGACTAAATAAACTCCATTGTTGATTAGTAAATTTTTCAACTGAACCTGAAGTCTGGGAAGGAACTTCCTCAACAAAACCCCAAACAAACAAACAAACCCAAACTAAATTGAATGTTTTAGTCAACATGTTGGTAATAAATGTTTTAGGTTGGAGAGTGGGGGCTAATCGATTGGGTTGCTGTCATTCCCATTATTTTGTGGTCCAGATGCTTGCACAAATTGTAGATACTTCTTGCTAAGTATCTCATCATTGTAGAGGGAACATAAATAAGGGGTTCAGCTTATGGACAAGAATGGAAAATATAAGTATTTTGACTTACCACAGCATAACTCTAGAACCTGTTCTGGTATTTGATACATTGCCAATACCTCAGCATACAAAGACTGTTTTTTGGCCCGCTTACCCACTTGCCCTCTTTGTATTTTCTTTTTATACAAGGAAAAAGAAATGTGTTTAACTGTCAGCACCATAAAGCATCTCAAAGTCAAATTTGTCATTCTTCCAGTTCATACATCTCCTTTAAAGACTAATTTTGTAGGTTACACTTTATTCTGAGTTTCTTGGAATTCCAAATTTTGCCCACTGTCCTGATTTTGTTGTGATTTTTAGTACTGATTAGTCTAAAATCTTTAGACTCTATGACAGGACATCACAGCTGCCATTAAGACTGCAAGTTTCAAATCTGTGAAAAATGAAATTTGTTAATATGACCTGAGGTTTATCAGAACTAAAAACATTTCCAGACAGAAAAGGGCAATTTAACTTCAAAATAACATAATAAAGGAAAACCATACTTCATTGTCTACTCAGCAACACCAGAACTTTTTAAATGGTCTGCAAGACCAGAAAAAAGACAAAAAACCAATCTGGACTGCCCACAGTTTTTTTAATATATATTTGCCAGTACTGAACCTTACAATGAAATTGATGATTGTCTTGATCCACTCTTTTTCCCTAATGCATCCAGTTAAAACTCTTGTATTCATAATAATTATATATTCTTTTATTTGCTGGCTTAGCAGAATATCCAGACATTTCTTTTTGGCCCATTAAGACTTTTGTGCCCAACACTAATTAGTGTTTATCCAGTAGCTACAATATAGAAACTGCAAATTAAAAGTAGTCATGGAGGCCATCATGCAAAAGAAATAATGGTGATTGACATGCTAAGTGTGATTGTTTTTCCCTTGGTGGTCATACACTAATACAGCAGACCAGAATTCAAAAGTTAGCACCATCGCCACTTGTACTTTGCTAAAGAAAATAAAAAAACACTCTTTCAATAAATGAAAACCATAAGGGAGGCACCTGCCAAAAAAGAGAAATTAAAACTCTCAAACAGAAATTGCTTTTTTCCTTGTATTATCTCATTGTGGTTAGAAAGAGTCTTGTCTGTTGTGTAGGCTGTAATAATCAGCAAAGAACAAGAAGATGCTCTTTTCTAGTAATTAATTGTATCAAAGTATTGGTCAGTTTAGCCAGAACAAAGACCGAAACATCTATGTGTCAGCTGGACCTGAGAAAACATATGTGAATCAGCTTCTGCAACAGAAAGCACTTCCAGCAAAGGTGTGAGAGACAAGGAACAATAAGAGACTTCTAAATATCAGAAGCAGAAATCAGAAATTCTCTGATTTACGTACAACTGAAAAATTTTTGCCCATCTTGATTTCTTTGCACTGCAGTTGTGCAAATCTTAGTATACAGCTCACTTTATGATTCTCCTAACAGTTCCCATACTAAAAAATGCTACACCATGAAAAAGTCAAAGTAACTCAGGGCTTTAGTAGTTTTTGTATCACAATGCCTTCTGACAGTTTGGTGTGGGGTTTTTGTTTGACTTTCTTCCCTTCCAATTACAAAATATCTTTATGGGAAAACATCCTTTTGGAAAAAAACAAACCACAGACTTAAAAGAACTGACAAAAATCCCTGCTGGATCTCTGGAAATACAATCTGAATATCAAGTTATTTAGTTCCTTCATTTTACTGTCATACTTTGCAAGAGTCCATTGACCAATTTCTGCCCTCAGTTACATCATCTAGTTATCAAATGTTAGCAAATCATGGCTCTGGTCTTGAAACAGTCATGAAAAATCTGAGATTTAAAAGAAATAGTTGCTGGCTGTTTTTGTTGTGTGTATTTTTAACTGTTAGTGTACTTTTTTGTCATGATTTCAAGATCTTCTCTGAATCTCCATTAAAAACCAAAAAAGCAGCTAGTATTTGCTTCTAATCTCTTGTCTTCACAGGCTTTGACTTGAAGAATAAAAAGCAAATATTAAAGGCCTTGATATGGAATAGCAGCAGCTGACAACATTACAGTCACATCTGTCCAAACCTATTATCTCTGCATTTTGAGACCTGTGATTCTATTGTTTTCAAATGCTGATCTGGTTCTTCCAAAGCTTGTTCTATCCTGCAAGTATAAAAACAAAAAAAAGTTGTTAAATTAATAACCCTACTGAGAAAGCATAACGTTTTGTCAAAAAACCCCTTGAGTTGTTCCTACCACTCCATAACTTAGGATTTTTTCATGATCTTGGCCACCCACAGCTTCCAAATTCCCCTCAATATTCCTAACTTCCACATAGATCCAGTAATCTCCCTCCCAGCTTCCAAATTCCCAATTCTTCCTGGCTTTGCTCTATGGCTTCCCATGACCCTTTCTAATGTTACCTCTGGATATTTTCTGAATACTGAATATTTCAGTTGCTGCTTCTATTTCAGATCCACAGCTCTGTGATGTCCTATTCAGCTGCTATTGAAATCTCTTTGATCACTTAGCTCCACTTTTCTTTGTCAGCAGATAAGATTCCTACTGTGTCACCGACTTTATTCTGGAAAGCAGCTCATTGCCCTTCTTACATTTATTCTGAAGGAAGATGCTAAGCCAAACTCTCTTCATAAATTTCTCCTAATGTGCATCATAATACACCTTTCTTGACTCTAATCCTCATCTAACAAGTGCATCTTGTATAATGGAGTGCATCGTGATCAATGGAGAGAAAAAAAACAATTTTCAAACTGCAGGTTATGTAAATTTAACTGTTCACTTCATGCTTTGCTATCTGAACATTTTCACATCAATGTTCCAGGCTGTTCTTAGCCCCCTACCTATCTACAGAGGGATGCTCTCTGCTTCTCTACCCAATTTTCTGTTCACCTGCCTTTACTTGAGCAACAGAAATTTGTCTTTTGGTGATGAGAAGCCCAGAAAACTCATCATTATTTTCCCAGTCTGATCTTTGGTGGGTGTGTTTCAACTGCAGGAAGCAATCACTCATTATTCTTGTAGCTAGGACAATTTACAAAACTTATATATGTATGTCTCCTCATAATGCTGCAGTTTTCCCAGACAGCTTACAATGTAACTTTCAGGCTTCTTATATCTAAAGAAATACTATCTGAAATCTGTAGTTTGTCCTGAGCAAAACTTCTTTGCCACATAACCATAACTGAAATGGTCAGCTGTAGATAGTGTGGGTATTGTTATTGTTTTGTCCTAGTGGTTTAGACCAGGATCCTTCAATTAGGGTTTCCTGGTGAATCATGAAACAATTTTTTCAGAGATTTAGTTCCTACTACTAGATCATTTCTCAGCTTTTTCTATGCTGGACTTTTTTCCCAAGAGTTTGCTTCCAGTTTCTGTAATACCTCTTTCTTAGGTCCCTTTTCACTGGTTTTTTTTTTCCTTTCTTCTGATTTTACCTGCTTGAACTACAAAGTAGCTCATAATCTTCATCCTTGAATGATGCATCTCTAACCTAGCACCAGGGCTTTTACCTCTGTTTGCCCCAGTTAGTCAATCACCAGTCTTCAACATCTTTGTTACCACATACCTGAGTAAATAAAGGCAAGACAGCAGACTGATCTTGGAATTAAACATTTCTTTGTAAGTCTGTATATAAAGAGATTGAAGTTGATTTGTAGAACACAAGATCTAGGGATCTGTTACTGGAGAAGGGATCATATCAGTGCCAAGGTTAGGTGGAAGGACAGAGAAAATTGTTAATATCATCCATTCAGGTATCAGAGGCAAAAGACCAAGACTCTTCAGAAGACTTTTCTACCCCTTAAAAATAGCCTTGTTCAAGATAAAGCATCACATATTTCCATTTCTTTTATAAGGCTCAATCTTGTGCATTACGCTTCAGGCTAATTTAGAAAATTTGAGCTTGTCTTTTATGCATCTTGATTCTATGTCTAGACAGCCATTGGACTCCAGCTTAGCCTGCAAGCCTGTTTCCTGCTTTCTCTTTAATCTTCTACTAAATGAACA